CAGTCAGTTGAACGTTGATTTAACACTCTAACCTGGCACCTCCGCCCCCCCCAGGGAAGCTTCCAGCCTGGGATCTGACGTGGCAAGCAGCTATCACGACTCAACTTTTATCTTTTATATCATTGACATTTTGGGTGAGTATAAGCACCCCTCCAGGCCATTTTTTAATAGAAAATGCCTCATTTTGAATTTGGTCGGTATCTGCTCATAATTAGAATTAGTTTATGCACTCCTTCCTGGCCAGATGCCTACCTATGTTGTGTCCCCTTTAGGACATCATATCAGGGGTCACTTAATATCCTGCCCCTCACTGATGGTAAATTTTGATTGCCTGATCAAGGTATTGTCCAGTTTCTCTACTGCATTTTCCCCTTGGAGCAAGTAACCAGAATGTGTATAGACACTTTCAGATCATGCAAATATCGCTCATTAAAATTTCCCCGTAGGCTTAGCATCCACTGATGATTCCTGTCTGAACTGATCTTGTACTGTGATGGCTACCAGTGACTCTTCAATTCCAGTTGCACTTGATCATCTATAAGCCAAAGCCTTTCCCTCTTCCTTATTTTTTTTATCCACGTAATTTTCATTATGGACTTGAGATTACTTTTTGAATGGCTGTAATCCATTGGTACTCAGATGGTCTCAGCTTTGGCTGGAGAGAACACCTTCAGGCTAGCTCTTAGTGACATACTCTTAACATTTTTTTTGAACACCTCCTTTTCTGGCCTAACAAGATACCTACAGCCATTTTGTGCTTACCCTGTCGCAGCCTTGGAATCAGCCAGTTTCTTTTAGTGGAAAAGGTAACAGAAGCTAAGATTTGGTTTACCTATGATATATGTGATATACTCTCATTGTGAAATTTTCATTTCTCCACGAAAAATTTATTTTGGTCACAAAGTGGATTTCATGACCCAGTGTGAAAAACACTGCTGTTGCACAGCTCACTTCCTTGTCACTTGCATCTTCTAAAAGCCCAGGTCATGCACTAGGTTGGTCCCTCTGCAGTGACAGCACAGCTTCAAGAATCCTCTGGAAGCTAGTGCAGGCCTGAGACAGCGAGAGACTGCTCCCCAGTGGCTGGAGCTGGGCCTAGCAGCTGGCACTTACAGGCTTGGGCCTACGTTCGGGGCAGCAGCTGTTTCTGAGGCCCAAAGCCTGGCCTTTGAGGTGTGTCTAGCTAGGTTCCTCCCTCTTCCATGGTGGGGGGACCCACTTTCTATACCTGCCTCACTAGAGGCTTCACTGATGGTGGCTGCAGAGAACTGGAATTGTGACCTTGCCCACAGACTTCGGAGGTACTCAGAGTTTCTAAGGCAAGACAGAGTAGATGCCCGCAGATCACCAGCCGGTAAGCACCGAGTCCTGGCACTGTCACCCCCAAACCTGAGAGGCACAGGGCATGCTTGTTAACAGGGATAGTAGCTATCCAGTGTAGCATAGAGCTTTGTCTGAATACACACTGGAAGTCTGAGGCTCCTATAGGAGTTGGTTCTGTTTTCCTGTAGAAGTTATCTTTCTTCCTGCTCAGCTAAACAGATCTCGCAGATTGTACGTATTTCTTCTGGATAAGTGGAAGCTTTTTAGTTCTACTAAGGACAGACTCTGGCCCTGCATTTTGTCAGGGCCATTCTTAGTTGCATAAAATGTCCTCTATGTTTAGTAAAATCAGCTTGTGGAACTGGGCATAAAATAGCCAAAGCTAGTTTATTATTTTCTCTAGTTTTTTATCTTTGTTTCTATACACTGTATGTTGTATAGAACTGAAACATCACATTTCTAAATAAGGCAAATTCTTCTATAATGTAAACTTAGGTATATAGAAATCCTTGTAAGTTAAAGAGGAACAAAATTGCTCTTCTGCTAACATTAAACTCTTAAACTACTAAATTCTTACTAAATGCTAGGCAATGTAGTTCCTCCATTTCTTTTTGTCAGTACTTCCTGAGCACGTACTGGGACTCTAGAGCTACGGAAATATGGGGCTTTGCCCTGTGTAAGTTCCCATCTAGTGTCTTCCCTCATCCACAGTGGTTCCTGAATGCAGGTGAGTCCAAACTTTCTAACTGAATTTACTTCTATCATAGCTAGTCATCTGGGGAATAATTTGTGCATTTGAGACAACAATCAAGCAATCTGCTGAATGTTGTGTCTCTAGAGTAAGTTTGTAATAGTGGTTCCCATCTTAGTAACAATGCTAAAATAATGTTAATACAGTAATGGGATTTGGGGGATTGTAATATAGCCAGAAGGGATAAGGAGCAGAATAGGAATGAAATGCCCACTTAAGAGTTTGGGAAGCTGAGGCCCAGAGAAGGGAAGAATCTACCTGTGATGGAAATGGAACAGGTACGAGCTCCCTGGCTCTACCCTCCCTACCAGTCTCAACCCCACAGTTTCATCCTAAAAGCAGTTGCCTTTACTTAAGGGGGAAGAGCTACTTACAGATATTTGGAAAACAAGCCCTCAAAAATCGGGAAGTGACAATGCAGATTCCCGGTTGTACAATAAGAAAGGAAAGAATAAAACACAAAATAGTCTGCCCTTTAATTATGAGCAAGAGTTCCTGATTCTAAATAAACTTCTTCCATATTGTATTCAGTTCACTAATTCAAAAGGAAGTGTGTGAGGAAATTTTAAATTTAAAAATGGTTTGGGTTGTGGTTGGTTCCCAACTGCCCGCAAGTCACTCTCTCCAATGTTCAGTTGCTGCATTTGGATGAATTTTAGGCCAAGATGAGGCTGGGCAGGCTCCGCCCACTACCAGTGACCCTGCATGCCTTGGCTGTAACAAAGGCGTTTTGAAGAACCTCAGTCTGTAAGTCCAGTGGGCGGCTTTGTCTTGCCTCCTTCAGCCTAGAGGTTCTGTTTTCCATAAAGCAAAGGGCAGTGAAGCAGATTAAAACTGGACAAGTTACAAAGGGAAATCTATGAGCCACAGAAATCTCTGTGTCAGATGTCTGGCAGAGGCCTGAGTTTAGAAATTCCTGGGGTTCGTCAGAACCTTCAAAGATAGCCACAGCTGTCCTAGCCCTTAGTAAGCACTGGGGGAAGACTAGGTTGGGTCAGGAGCCCTCTTCACCACCTTCTTTGCTCTAGGCCACCTTATGAAGGCTAACAACCCTCCTTTTTATCCTAGATGACTGCTTGTGTGACACAGATGTGACCACATTTAAGTGTTAAGTCTCATATCTGTGGAATTTCTAGTAGTTCACTCTGAGAGGTAAGTAAAACTGGCTAGAACACTCTCAGAAAAGTTACCCACCAGAAGCTGTGCCTTTAAGGGCAGGAAAGCATGGTCCAGCCTCATCCCAGAAAAAGACACACACAAAGATCAATCTCTGAGCCGTGCTTATGCTGTACTATAGTGATCAGTAAGTTGAATACATCTGCTTTAGTTAGAGCCTTTAAAAAATCTTGAGGAAGACTCTGTTGAACTTAATGCTTAAAAAGGGGGGGGGGGAGACAGGGTATTAAAGTTTATTTCTAAGAAATGTAGAATATTGCAGTTTTGAACATTAAATCTATTGCAAATATAAATCCATCATCTCCACCCATTCAGGAAAACAAAGCCAAAGGAGAATTTCTTGGGAAAGAACTAAGATTTCCTTAGGTGATCAGCTGAAGAGGAAAGGCTTCTCTTGCCCGCTCAAAGGGGAAACATTAACAGCAATTTCTGTCAATTAAAAAGTTACTGCTACTCTAGCTTTTAAAAAATGACAGGGAGGAGCAGGGCTTTTGTTTAGGACTTTGATGGTTACCTTGTGCAGAGTGTAAAGCCCCTACAAATGAATTAGACCTAGTTTCTTAAATAAAAATAATTACATAAATATATATATATATTATTTTTCCTTCTTCCTCCAGTTACCATAAGTCAGTCTTAGGTGCATGGACCAAACCCAAGATAGAGCCTCGCCCTTACTTCCCACCACACAGTCCTGAACAAACTTCCACTGAGAGCTTTGGGAAGCAGGGAGGCTAGTGCAACAGCTGTCAGGAACCAAGGCACAGGCAAGGCTGGGGGGAAACTGAGTTGTGTGGGATAGGTCGCCACTGACCAACTGGAGTCACAGAACCCTGCCCTGACCCTAACCCAGGGGGAGGTGGCGGTCCAGATCACACTCGAGTTTTCCCATCCCTTAGTTTCATCTTTTAAAGGCACATCTAGAAATCGTGCAACTGGGGGGCCTGGAGTAAGCGGCAGTTACTCCAGGGGTTAAGGGGTTATAGGACTCCATGGCACAGAGCAGTGAGGCTGTCACTGCCTTCACCTGGTGGGGAGGGGGACTCCTGGAATCCAGCCTGCTTTGGTGGAGGCCTGGAGAAGGGCCAGCAACGGGGAAAGATGAGGGCTGTTGTCTGTAATGCAAGAACTTAACAGGTCTTTGGTGCTTGTGTAGCAGCATCTCCTTTATGTACAGAGGCTTCTGTGGCCAGTAAAGCTGGGAAAAAAATGCTGGAGAGGAGTTGCTGGCCTGACCCCTCTCTCAACTTTGACCCCCTTTTGCACAAGGGCACAAAGCATAGGAAATTAAGTCTAAATTGCAGTGAATGTACACATAGATTTTAGAAAGGATTTCCTGAAGATGGGTTAACGCCCCTCCCTAGTTGTGAAGATCATGAGACACTCCGCCTGAGCCGCACCTGACAGCTCTGCCCCTTGACCTTCCTCACAGAAGAGAAATTTCTAGGCTTTTTCCTTAGATATGAGTTAGATGCTGTAAGGGTCCATGTGGGGCCCAGGCAGTGAGCAGGGCGTAGAGGGTGGGTCTAAGGGCCCAGGGAGCTGCCCACCTCACACGCCCCTGGGCTCCAGGACCAGCCAGTTCTCGGTGACCATCTGTACGTCCTGGCCACTCAGAGGCTCCCGCAGCCTCACCTTCACCTCCAGCTTGCCCCCAGTGGGCTTCCTTCCGTCCAGGACCTGTGAGGATGGCGGAAAGGGAGATGGTAACTGAGGGGGCGGGGGCTGGGAGCAGACAGCTCCCTACGCTTACGGGTAAAGAGAGAGAGGAGCTAGAGTTTCCTGCATGTCAACACAAGAGTCTCCATTTCAGGACAACCCCGCTGTGCTGTTGGTTGGTGGTTTTTGGTAAGTCTTTTATAAAAAAAGTAGTATGTAAATCCAAATAACCAGCAGTGCTCTGAAGTGGAGCTGAGAAACGTAAATCTCTGCTCACTCGGTTTTCCCCACAGTCCTCACGGCAGCTCCTACAAGAAACGCTCTAGCTTCAAGGTGCAGCCTGAAAACCACTGAGCCCAAACCCTCCCTTCACAGATGGCCCAGAGAGGAGGGAATGATCAAGTCACACAGCCACTGTGCAGCAAGGCCAAGGCTAGAACCCAGGCCAAAGGTTCCTTTACACCAACCATGCTGCTTCCCTCCTGTGCAGAGTGCAGAGCAGTGCTCGAGAGGTCTGACCAGCCTCGCTGGGGGCAATACAAACCCTACTTAGGAACGACTGCCCCGAACAGGCAGAGGCCAGGTAGTGGGCAGAGCCCCAACCTATGAAGACATCAGCTCTGCCAGGGATGCTCTGGAGGAGCTTATGGAACACCTCCTCTCTGGACCTCAGCTGCCTTGTCGTCAGGCAAGCACTTAAGAGTCCTTACCTGTAAAATGCAGTGAGTTCACAGAAACTTAAAGGACTGTCTGGGGCTGATTCCTAACACAGACTAGCTATGTTCTGGTGGGTCCCCATCTGGAAATACCTTAACAACTTTATGTCCAGAGCTTGTTCTACCTCATCATGTTGACAACTGATGCAAATATAGTCCACCCCCAGAAATGTGTGTGTGCCAAGTTGACAGCAGTGATCAGACCCCTCAAGGGCCCTTAATCTACTATAACTGAGAACGTGAGTAGCCCGGAGTGCTGTGGAAAGTACATAGCTACTTCCTATCTGGGTGACACTGTGACACTTCCTCAGACCCTCTGAATCTCTTCATTCGGGAAATGGAAATAGCAAGAACTATCTATAGCACACTTACAGATATTTTTAAATTTATGGGCATGAAAACCCTACAACAGGGAATGATATTCAGTGAATACTGGCCAAATCTCCAGTTTGCCCACCCTACCTCCACGATCTCTCTGATCTCACACTCATTCTCCAGCCGCTCTAGTTTCAGGTGGGCTGTGCCGACCAGCTTGTCACTTCTGAAGAAGGATCTGGAGAGCCAAGAGTGAGCAGAGGATTGGACAGGGCAAGGCAGGCAGAAATGAGCTGGCTAAACCCGGTGCAAGGAAACCGAACACTAGCAGGGGCAGTAGCAGGGGTGGCAGCAATAAGAAGCCCGTCCTTCTTCCCTGCCCAGCTTGGCACTGTGACTGACTCACCCTTTGTGGAAGATTTCAAACTTGATTCCTTTGCTTTGAATCACCCTCCTGAATCCCCGGTGGTTTCGGTTGATGTTTAGCTTGAAGAGTTGATCAAATTCTGCAACGGGGAGAAGACAGAGGGACTTGGCTTCCAGGGATTTCCTGAGAAAAGTGAACAGGCCCAGGGCTGGCCTCCCCTCTCAATCTTTCTGCCTGCATTTCAGAGTGCCTGCCACTAGAGGGAGGTAGAGCATCCAGGTCCTGGCCTTGAAATTCACCTGGACAGTTAAAACACAAATTATACCAAAATGGAAAAGGCTTGGAATTTGGAGTCAGGATTCCTGGATTTGAGTCCCATTTCCACCACCTCCTTGCTTTGAGTCCCTAGGCAAGTCCTTTTACCTCTCTGAATTTAGTTTCCCCAACTACGTTAAAGGAGTCGTAATAATACCTGCCTTTATCTCCCACGTTGAGCAAACCAAGTAAGGTAATAGATCTGAAAGCACTCTGGAAACATGAGTGCTGCACACATGTATCAGAGGGTGAGAGGGAAGAGAAAGCAGCCCTCATGTGGGTCCTCACCTGGAGAGTTTGTGTTTTTCACTACAGTTGTTTTGTTTTTTTGAGCCTGGTCCTAAAGCAGTGAGAAGGGAGAAGTCAGGGCAGCTTGAAAAAACAGATATAGGGCCAGGAACTCTGGACTACACCAGTGTTGAGGGAATGGGCCCAAGGGTCTTCAAACCCCTCCCTATAGCCAGACTCCCAGGGAAAAATTGAGCATAGGGCCCTGGAATGGAAGATGGGGTTCACAGGATCCTACTGCTACCGAAACCTCACCGAATTAGGGTAGTGGAACTCAAACCGCACAAACGCATCCAAGTCATCAGGAGTCACCCCTATAAAAAAGTGAGAGCAAAAGTCAGAGGAAGTAGCCGGACCCAGCACTTGATACAGAGGAAGAGCTAGTGCCTCCCTACCGGCCAGGGGTGGAGTATCTGGACAAGAGCCTCCAAAAGTAGGGGTGGCTACCTGGAGGTGCTGGGAGGTTCATGCCCCGGACAATGATCAGATGCATTTCTGTGCTGTTGAGTTCTGCGAAGATCCTACAGCCAGGAAGCAAGGAAAACAAACCCAAAGTGAAGTGAAGGAGAGCAATGAGAAGGGGTCCCCTATTCCAGTGCCTGCCTGCCTGCCCAGTTGGGTGGTGGCCGGGAGGAGAGTGGGTACAGGGAGTTAAAGCTTGTCTGAGTAAAAGTAGCAGGGCTGGCATGCAGACCTTGGTCTGGACCCTCTAGTCCAGAGCTCCCTCCCCAGCCACCAGAGCTCTGAGCTCCTCACAGGCAGGCACCATGTCCTGCTCCTCCCCAGGCCCAGGCCTATGTCAGGGGCAAGCCTGGGAAGCCACACTCAAGGGGCTAAGTCTCCATCCCTGGCTCCCAAACTCTTGCCCTGCCCCTGTATGGAGCCACAGTCTTCCTTAGGCTTTGGCACCTCACAGTTTGGAATGTCTTCAACTCAAAGTGGTGGTTGGGAGGGTCGAGGCCCTGGGCCTGAGCCAGCTGCAGGATCTCAAGCTGCTTCTTGCGGTCCTGAGCAAGCTTCTCAAACCTGACAGGGACAGGTGTGCTTGTCAGCATGGAAGGGGCTCATATTCTGCTCCCCCTCAACAAGCTCCAGCCCCAGCCCTGCACTTACCGGGTGGTCTCGGCCACATTGCCCTGGTGCATGAACTGCTTGGAGAACAGCAGACACTTCTGAAAATAGGGGCTCAGGGTGACTCCAGAGCTCAGAGCAGTTAGTGTCTAGATTGGCCTTTGAGGCCTGACTTGTGAAAGCTCCAACCTTCAGTAACCTCACCCTTCTCCCCCAACACACACCTGCAAGGTTACTGTTCCCAAGTCCCATTACACTTTTCTAAGTTTCTGCTGTTTCCTCTCCTGAGGATGGCCATCCTCCTAGATTCCTTTAGCAAACTCCTATTCTTCCTTTAAAACTTAACAGAAACATCACTTCAGAAAGCAGACTTGCAGGCAGCAATTCAGATAAATACACAAATATATATACATGTATTTATTTTTAAATATGCATATATATCTGTCTCCCCAAACACTTCTTCCTCCCATCTTCAAAGTAATTCCCCCTCCACTCTGTTGTGTGAACTTCATAACCACCCTGCAAGGAGGGTATTAATCATCTCATTTTACAGATGAGGAAAATGTGGTTCAGAGAGGGGAAATGCCTTACCCAAGGTCATACAGCCAGTGAGTGGAAGAGCTAGAATTTGAACCCCATCTGGTTTCTGAGCCCCTTCCCTTTCCCCAGAGGGAGGCTGTGGGCCTACTGACCTCATGCTGCTCCAGAAGCATTTTTTGCAGCTGGGCATACACCTCCTCAGCCTTCTGGGAGAGTCGCAGGTCCTCATGGTGGATCAGGATGAAGTCACCCTCTTCATCCGTTAAAGGTGAAGGTACCTGCTCAGGTCACAAGGCCCCTCAGGGGCCTCAAGAGTCAGATTATTCCTCTATTGAGTCTAACACACACAGAATCTAAACTAAATGTTTCTCCAGCTTCTAACCTCCAGTGATGGGAACTCACTGCCTGCCATCCTACCCCAGCCACTGCAATGAATGCTCTGCTTTCCACTGGCCTTGCCCTGCATGGCCAGCTCTGACCACAGGCAGTCCACCTAGCCCTCCTTGGCCTCTCTCGGGGCCATGGGGCAGAGATAAGCAAAAGCAAAAGGTTCTCCTCAGCTGTCACCACATCCTACCTAAGTACTCCCTCCTCCAAGCAGCTACCTTGTTCACAGCCCTGCCCGTCAAGCCTGATACCCACCTCTCTGCCTGAGAAGTCCTGCGGCTTAACCAGGTGACACTCACCTTGGAGAGGTCCACAGGTCGCCCAGCTCGGACCTGGATGATCTGAGCCTCAAGGCATTTGGCCACCCGCAGATGCGCTTTGGCCTGCTCCAGGTCCTGGGCGCGCTTGGCCTGCAGGGCTGCCCGCTGGTACTGCAGTTTACGTGCCTCTAACAGCGTCAGCTGCTCCCGCACTGAAAGGAGGGGACACTGGTTAGACCCATGCCTACCCCTCACTACAGCCTTCACTCCTCCATCCCTCTTCTCCCCAACTCACCAGATGGACTCAGCGACTCCTTGGAACTCGAGGCCTTGGGCTCAGATGGGGGCCGGGATGAAGGCACCACAGGCTGTGTTGGCTTCTTGGCCACTGGGGCCTGGGCTGGGGGCTCATCCTACAGGTACCCAGGAGGCTGTCACGGGATCTGTTCCTCACCCTGGCCATGAGCTCCCAGACCAGGGGTCTCTCCCTAATGCTGCATTCTCGGTGCGACCTGAGATGAATGCCTTCCTCACATGGGCCCCAGAGAATCTCAGAGCTAGAAGAAGCCTCAAAAGCTCTCTGAACTAACCTCCCTGACAGGAGACAGCAGAGCAATGGGGATGGAACCTGGGCTCCAGAGTCAGAAAGACCTTGGTTTGAATCCCACTCTGCTAACTCCTAGCTGGGCACTCTTGCCCAAGTTTTTTCTCTATAAAATAAAGGAAAGAATACCTACCTCACTGGGCTTGTTAATATGGGACACCAGAGCCTGGGTTTGCCCTTCATCTGCTGTTTCCTCCCATCAACCCCTGGAGTCTCGGGCCCTCAGGCAAACCTCAGGCCCTCAGGCAAACCTCGTCCTGGTCCTCCTCTTCCTCTGCTGGGGCTGCATCCTCTGAGGCCAGTTTCTGGGCAGCTGCTAAAGTAGCTGCCACTACATCCTCCTCTGTATCCATGGTATGCTCCAGGCCCGGTATGGGGGGGAATCCTGGAGAAGGGAGACAGCCGGGAGAGGGATAGTGTAGCCTTGGGGAGGCACCAATTTGCCATGGGTCCTGTCGGGGTCTTTCTGGGTATGACTGGGATGGGTGGCTTCCACAGAGTGGAGGCAGATATGTGAGAAATCATTCCCTCCACCCCAGTCCTGCTCAGAGATTTCCTCATAAGCCCCTAGGCCAAACCCCATTCACCTGGAGGAACAGGCAACTCAGCAAAGTCAACTTTCCGTCCTGCTCGGTGTGCTCGAATGGCATCTTGATATTGCTGCAAAAGAAGGCAAGGAGGGAAGTATGGTGGGCAGCAGTCTGCAGGCTCCACTCAGGGAGACAGGGAGAGGAAGACTGAAAGAGGAGGAAAAAGAACCCCTGAGGCAGCAGGAGCTCAAGAGAGAGAGGCAGACAGATGGAGACTCACAGACCAGGGCACAGACAGACAGAAGCCAGCCAAGAACAGAGGCCGACACAGAGGAAGGGGCTGTGCAGCGGCAGGCTCACCTTGGCAATGCGCTCATGCATCCGGGCCTTGCGCTCATCCCCACTGCCCCGGGCCTGGATGCCTGCCTCCCGGTACTTGTTCAGCCTCTGCTGCAGGGCGTCTAGCACTGTCTGTGGCTCAGCAGGGGCCACTTAAAAGGAGGAAGGAGGGCATCAGCTCTGCCTGCCTCCCCCCCCATATCCCCACTCCACAGTCCCAGCATCCTGGGGTCCTACCTGGGGTTGCTGGGATGTCAGAGGCCATCACTGGCTGTACTTGCTCCACTGCTGGGGGTGCAACTGAGGGTGCTGTAGGGGCCTTGGTAGCTTGTGGGAGGGGCTTCAGGTCTGAAGGACCCAGAACAGAGATGTAGGTGGGCGTGCCTGGCCAACCCAGCCCCTGCCTGAGCAGGCTCCCCCCGCCATTCCCATACTGACCCTCAGGTGCTGGGGGCATGGCACTCAGGTCCACAGGCTTCCCCTTCTCCAAGGCCTCCAGGACAGCACCAAATCTCTGCAGTAGGAAGAAAGTCAGGTCTGGGGGCATAAACCAGGGAACCTCAAGAATCTGGGCTGAAAAAACTCCCCCTCAGGCCAGCCTCACTCAAGCCTAGTCTAGCTGTAAGACACTGAGCAAGTCACTGCCCCAATGGAAACGAAGGGCTGGACATAGGGCCTCTGAGTCAGACGCCATACCTTCCCAATCCTCATGAGCTCTCGGGCACGGTCTAGGTCTCCAGCCCGCTTGGCATTCAGAGCAGCCACTTTGTACTCTCTCTGTCGGGCCAACAACAGGGCCCGTGGGTCTGGGTCAGAATCAGGTGAGGCAGAAATACCAGGGCTGTCCAAGAGGCTTGTCTCAGGCTGGAAGGGGTTGTCTATGGAGAAACAAAAAGTCCACAGAGAGGGCATCAAGGCCAAAGAATATTCAAGTGCCTCCAGGTCTGGCTGCCCTGAGGGACCTCTCAGGGAAGGTGAGACTGACAGCAATGGACATCGGCAACAGCGACGGCAGGCCGGGGAGGCAGGCCGCGGGCTCTGGCCTTGGGAACCAGGACCAGACTTGACTGTCTCCAGATACCTGGTTCCACAGAGTGGGGAGCTGGGGGTTCTGCTTCAGGCCTCCTGCTGGCTGTTTCCTGGGGGGCCAGGGGCCTCTTGCCCAAGGCCACTGGAGGTGGGATCTCATCCTCACTGATCTTCCTGCCTTTCCTCACAGCAGCCAGCTGGGACTCCAGAGTCTGAGGGAGAGAAGAACCAGAAACCTAGCCAGCCATTGCAGGCTGGACCCTGCTCAGAGACAGGCCAGGGATCCTTCCTGCCATAAGGCTGGTGGGAGGCTTCCCCTCCATGGCCCAAGTTCCTCCTGTGCCTTACCCTCAGCCCCCACTGCCCTCAGCCCCACTCTGCCCAGCCCTGGTCCCCAGCCGAGCCCAGCCCACCTTCAGGCCACGGTCACAGCGCCTGGCCTTGGCCGCGTCACCTGCCTCCGTGGCACTGGCCGCAGCCTCACGGTAGTTGTGGATTCGCTCCTCCAGCAGAGCCTGCAGCCCCTGAGGCCCTCCAGCCTGTAGATACTTTGGTTCAGGGCCTGGCCACTCCAGGGCCAGCTAGGCCCTTGCTGCTCCCTCCCTGCAAGGAAGCTAACCCCGAAAATGAAGCACTTGGATTCTAGGAGAAGGAAGAGCCTAAGAGCCCCACGGTGGGAGGCAAAGACTCACTGGAGAGGCCAGAGGCCATGTCAGAGGCAAACAGAGGCCCAGACAATCTGTGGAGGCCAGGAAATGGCTGCGGGGGTAGTCTGAGAGAACAGAGAGGCCTTTGAGGCCACCTAGGAGTTTCTTCTGCTCAGTCTCCACTTGGGGCAGCTGGGAAGGGTTACTGTCGACTTCCTCGTCCAGCCACGCACCATGTATGTTATACATGGACGTGCGGGGCACAGAGGACACTGGACCCCTCCAGAACCTACCTGAACTGCTGGGACTGAAGTTGTTGGGAGAGCTGTCTGCACTGAAAGTTCAATGTTGTCCTGTCCCTTCTCCTCAGAGTCACCAGGGCTGGCTGTCTCATCGCCATCCAGGGGCCCAGCCTCCTCATCTGCACCCAGGACCTCCTGCAGCTCAGTCTGAGGAGACATAAGTCCCAGGAGCTTGAGGGCTGCATGGCAGCACCTGAGAATAAAAGATACTCTCCCCCAGCAGTATTTCTCAGTATCAGTCACTGTGCCTGAAAGTTTCCTTTATCAAATCACTCTTTTAATCTGACCACAGATAGCCTTAAAAACAGTGAAGCCTCTAAATCTGATCTCCAAGTACAGAGCTCAGACCAGACATCAAAGGCGAATGGTCTCACACTGCACAGTCAGGAAAGGGACCCAAGAAGGGCAAGGCACTCACTCAATGTCAGAGTGCACAGAGGGACAAGCCCTAGGCCTCCTCCACAGGCTTGGCCACAGAGCCCTCAGACAACAGCCTGGAAGACGCACCAGCAAGTCTGCATCCTCCTCCAGTCCTTCCTCCTCCTCCTCCTCCTCCACATCCCGCATACAGTCCGCCGCCAGCTTCTCGATGTGGGCCATAGGCAGCGGGGCTGGGGGAAGAGGGTCACAGAGAGTCAGAGCAACTCAGAAAAGGTTCATGAGGAGTAAAGGAGGGTCTTCAATCCACTGCACTGGCAGACACACCTAGGTAGAAATCCTCCTTCCCTTCCACAGCCAAAGTCCCACCTTGGCTCTCCCTTTATGACCCAGCACAGAAGACCCTCAGCAGGGAAACCTTCCTGGACCCTGTTCAGCATTCCTGCCAGGGGAGTTATTCACAGATATATCCATCCATCCCCCCATATTACACCTTTCACATATATAAAGATTTTTAACATTCATTTGAGCTTTACAATAATTCTGCAAGACAGGTAATATTATCCCCATTTTACCTGTAAGTAAACAGAACTTTCTTAATCTTCCTAACATTGCAATCCTAGTAAATGGCAGAGCCAAGACTCAAACCCAGACTCGTCTAACCCAGAGCAGGCTTGGCCTGAGAGAGAAGGGCCGTGGTTCTCCTAGACCAGTGAGCCCCTCCCAGGTCCTCTCACTGTCCTCAGCTCAGGGGAACATGGGATGGGAGGTGGTTCTCTCTGAGGGTTCCTGGTGAGGAGAGACGAAGATTTAGACCCTTGGACCCTCCCAGGCTTCAGGCCTCTGTCCTCTTTCAGCCTAGGGAGGGAATACCACTCATTCATTCATTTGACATAACTTATGTGCACTTATTACGTACCCAATTCAGTCAGCGCTGGGCCCCTACTCTATATGAGCCCTGGCTCGGGCTAAGGATAGGGACCTGAGCCAGCCTGTGATTCACACTGCTGACTGTCCACAATGGAGAGGGCGCAGTCCACAAGGGACTGAGCTCCCCATCACACAGCTGTGTGAGTGGGCCAAGACGACCTCCTGGTGGCAGTGCTGCAGGAGGGACACGGGTATCACAAAGACCCAGGGATCTGGCTGGCTCCTCCCAGCTGTGAGGAGAGGACCCTCTCCACAACCTGCCTGAGCCCATCTGGTCCCAGTACCAAGCGCTATCAACTCACCCTGCCCCTTGGGTGCTGGCTTCCTGCCAGTGGTCCCTGCTTCCCCCGTGAGAGCCAGCAGCTCAGCCTCCAGGTCCCCGTCATCTTCAGTCTCCTCCATCCCCAGCAGCATGTCCTCAGGGCTGAACTCCACAAAGAGCCCGAGCTGAGGGCAGAGAAGGTTTCTTAGGAAGCACACAGTGAGGCTCCAGGAGGTCACTGTTTATGGGACCTACAGTGCAGAAAGGGAAACTGAGGCCTAAAACAGTACCCCTTGGGGCATTTATCTCCCTGGTGCTCTACAAAGAAACCAGTAAGACTACACTGCCATTGTTATTACCAACAACAACAGCAGCACTGCACGATTACCTTAGTTCATTCTCATAGCCCCGAGGCAGGTCCTATTTTCTTTTAAATTGCAGTGAAACATATGTAGCATGAAAATTACCATCTTAACCATTTTTAAGTGTAGAGTTCAGTGGCATTAAGTAAATTCACACTGTTTTTCTACCATCACAACCATCTGTCCACAGAAGCATTAAGTACATTCACATTGTTTTGCTACCATCACAACCATTTGTCCACAGAACTCTTCTCATCTTGCAAAACGGAAACTCTGTACCCGTTAAACAACTCCCCATTCTCCCCTCTTCCCAGTCCCTGGTAACCACCGTTCTTCTTTCTGTCTCTATGAATTTGACTACTCTAGGTAAAGTTAGATCCTATTTTTATCTCCATTTTCAGACGAAACAGTCTTGTGAGTGGCAAAGCTAGAATTTAAAATAAGATCTTATGCCTTGACTCTATGCCCTTTATCCTACCACCTCCCTTATCTGCCTCTTTAAGACACTAAAAATGGGCTAAGAAGTCTCAGAACTTGGGCCCAGAAGAAATAAATGGAGAAAAATTAGAGGACAGACACCATCAGTCTCCCACTTGGGCCACAGCCCTGGCAAGCAAATTTGTGGCCCTAAATAAGGAACCCATGAGAGCACTGAAGCCTTTAAACTTTGGTGGTTCCTGAACCCTCCAGGTCATTCACATGGAGGTGGCCATGGCAGGATGATGCCTGGGTTGAAATACAGGAGTGTTCAGGCCTCATCTCCTACGGGTGTGTGGTAGGAGCTTGTCAGAGGGTCTCTGAGGGTTCTGCCAACTCCAGGAGGCACACGCGAAGTCTCCAGACTAACAGCGAAAGCATGCAGATGACCCAGTTTGCCTAAGTTGTCAGAGACCCCCTCCCTCAGACTGACCCAGAAGTGAAGGTGAAGGAGGCTATTTTCATACCTGCTTGGCAGCTGCCACACCCTGGCCACTGGCCTGAGGGCCCTTCCGAGGTCTTGGCCCTGGCATCTTGGCAGCCTAGATACCTGTTTCGTGGGGAGTGAAAAAGATTCAGACTGGAGCAGCCTACAAGCCCAGCCCTCAACAGAGCTACCTGCAGTAAGGTGTGGTTTGTAAACTCCCAACTCAGAAAAAGAATGCAATGCTTAACACCGAAAGATGAAATACTAACGCTGGAAGTACAGCACTGAAGCAAGCAACGTGGGAGACGGAAGGGAGGGGACCACCTGTTAACAGGTATAAGAGGAGTGTGGACACAATAAAACCTTACTGAACTGACGGACAAATCTGGATTAAGCCCAAAAGGCTGAGTGGGATGGGCCTAAGAAGGCAGATTCAGGGAATTAACTCTAGGTGCAGGGTGCGTTCAAGGCTGGGTAGGATTCAGAAAGGCTCTAAAACAGTGCTGTCAGATATGGTGGCCATATACGGCTATTTATGTTTGAATTAAATTAAATAAAAAAGCCTGTTCCTCAGCTAGTGGTTACCACTGGCCAGCACAAATAATGAACATTTACATCACTGCATAAAGTTCTATTGGACGGTTCTGCACCAGAGAAATGTGACTCAGCATTCTGATTCTCTTAAAGATCTCACAACCGTTCATAGGACCCACCATGTGTCAGTCCGTGTGCTGGGCACTGGGAGAGTAGGAATGAATGTGACATGGTCTCAGCCCTCAGAGAATATTTACATGGTGCAGAGCACCTCATCAACGGACAAAACCCTCGCAGGGTGGCATCAGAGGCCATACGTGCCCAGGGATGGCCTCTTTTCCAGCGCGCGCGCGCGCGCACACACACACACACACACACACACACAAAGGCTTCTTGGAGAAGGGGAAGGAAGGGGGAATAGGAGTCCAAATGTAGGCAACAACCTGATAATGGTTCTGAGGTGAGAAAGTTTGACCTACACAAGGAAACTAAACTGGGATCATCGAGGCATAAAGTGTGAGCCCAGGAATGGTACCAACGAAGCTGATAATGTGAGCAAAGGGCAAAACAGAAAAAATTTTAAATCTAAAAGAGTTTGGGCAAGACTCTGAGAGCAATGGACGTGACAAGATCAAGTCAGCGATTCAGAAACATCCCTCTGGCTGCAGAAGAGGAGGAGGTGGGAGAGAGAACCGAGGCTGGAAGCCGTCTCTCGATACCGAGTATCTTGCAACGGTCCCGGAGAAAGCTGAGGGACAGTAAAGGCGACGTTAAGGACAGAGACAACTGTAGGGATTCCAGGGTTGGGGTAAAATCAACACAGCCCCAACGTTAACTGGACGTGCGCGCACAGAAGGGGGCGCTCAGGGTGTCTCCAGGCGTCAGATATCGGTAATTTGGGTGAAAGGCGGGCGGTCAACTGACCGGGGGATACGGAGTGAGCGGGCCAGTAAGACGCGCCAAGTCTGCGGCTCCGGGGACACCAGGCTGGACCCAGGCCCAAGCTCAGGAGAGGGGAGGGCAGGGAGTGCACAAGGGAGGCGAAGCCGAAGACCCCACTCCCGCGCCGCAGGACGCGCCGCTCTGCCGTGCCTGCCCAGCCTCCGCCATCTCCCCAGTCGTGCCCTCATCTCCCCTCGCCGGGGACGGGTACGCGGCATACCTCGCGGCGGATCCGAAACCGACCCGGGCCTTCTACCCCCCGGCACCATCCAAGGCTCCCGCGGCCCCGGGGCCGCCGAGGCCGCCGCGACAGGAAGCGCCCCGGCGGGAGACTGCTCACGCCCTAACACGTGACTCCACGCCCCTACGCCAAGCATTACGCATGCGCAAGACGAAGCGGGCGTGGCGCTCCGACAGGTGACTCCAAGGGTGGGGTTCTAAGCGCGCAGGCGCCTTCGGGCAGGTAGCGCGAGGCCCTATGGGAGGGTCGTTGGCCGGGTGCCGGATGTTCGGCTGCTTGCGCAAATGCAGCAGGTGCGCCCCCTACCTGTGCAGGTTTACAACTTCCCGGCCAAGCTTAGTTCCTCCCACTCCGAGGCGGCTTGGGCGCCCGCTCGCTGGGCCTATCTAGCTTCAAGTCCAGGTCCCGCCCGTCTCGGCGTGGAGGCGAGGCAGGCGCAGGCTCCGTCCTAGAGGAAGGGCTTCGCTTGCCACCTTCTTCAGGGTGTTTTATAACTGAGTCTCTCGGGAAAAAGAAAGGGGTCTCACCATATTCTTGTTAATCATTCAGCATCTGAATGTACCTTTTCTAGTCAGGAGGCGGGTTGAATATTTAAGATTTGACAGACAGTACTCATTACACCTCTTCATAAAGTCCCTTCAGACAGTTTAACACCAAGTTCTAACACCCCTACCCTGCAGGGCAATGGAAAGGGTATGGGAAGGGGCTTTAAAAAGAATCTTCCATCTAAAACAAACCTTGTAAATCACTTCCTACTACTTCCCAAACTTTTAAATCGTTATGTTTTGTGGTTAGCGGTCTTAAAGATCTTCCAGTTCCCTTGGACAAAGAACTTTTCCATCTCCTTACTTCTTTTGGGTGATTTCCCAGAGACTGTCTTGGCCATTTTAAAATTGAAGAGTCACTCCCATATGTCTTATTAAATTTTAAAATATTTTATAATTGAAACATTTAAGATATACACAAATATACAATATTTCACATTTGACAAGATGCAAGCTCCATAAAGGCATAAGTTTTTGTTCTTTATCTCCAGTGTCTAGAGCAGTTCATGGTACATAAGAGGCATTCAATAGTTTCTATTTTTTGTGTGAATTAATACAAGCACACTCACCACAAGTTCCAAAGAAATATCCAGTCTCTTGAATTTGTTATTATTCCTGAACATTCCTATGTCTACAATCGATGTATACATCTTTAAGCAATCCTTGGTATTTTTTTGCAAGCTTTAACGTTGTCTCATTGTTATCACTGCATATATTCAACTTTTTTTTTTTTACTCAACCTTGTTTTTAAGCTTTACCCATTGATACTTACTACTTTTCATCTCTGTATGGTATGTCACAGTATGAAAATAATTCATTTTTCCAATGGATTGCCATGACTGTGCTATGAACATTTTTGTACACAACTCCTGCTGTATACATATGTTTCCCCAGGGTATATACTTAGGAGTGGAATTGCTGGCTCATAGGATTTCTGAATTTTCTAAATATTACCAATTATCTCCAATGCAGTTGTTCTAGTGTACAAACCCATCAATGGGCACTTGGGTTTCAATTTTTTTGTATCACCACGGAAAGAAATTTTTTAAAAAAATTTTTTAACAAAAAAAGAAGAAAAAACAAAATAAAAACAAAGAACATGGAAAGATTTTTTGAATAGATGTGTAAGTGTTTTGATCTGAAGGCCTCTTTTACTATTAAGTTTCCATTTTGTTACTCATTCATATTTCTTATCCTGTGGATGCCTTATTTACCCATTTTTCCCTTTTCTTATTGTATAATTCTTAAAAATACTCTAATAGTGACCCTAGCCCATTACATACATTTATAAATGTGTATCCATGTATTTTTTCCCAAACTAGTTAATTAGTTACATTTATTATATTTAACTCATGTCTCATCATGATTCTAAGAACAAGGTCATTCTCCTACATAACCACAAAAATTTATCACACTCACAAAATTTAATATTTACATAATATTAAATTACCTAATATAAATATAGTCCATAATAGTGCTTGTAATTGTATCACTTAAATTCACAATCCAACCAAGGTTCTCACAGTGTACTTAGTTATTTAGCCCTCATCTCTCATCTCCTTTGGTGATAGGAATATTTTTAAAGAGGAATTTTGCCTTGCGGAATATTTTTCCTTCAATTTTGATTTATCTGCTAGTTTTTCTCATCAGTAGATTCAGGTCAAACATTTCTGGCAGGACTATAATGTGGGTGATGTGTTTTTCTTAGTACCCAACATGAGGTTTTAGATGTCACTTTGTTCCATTGTTGGTTTCTATGTAAGTATTAGAATTACTTGCAAAGTTATACAAAAAACCCTGCCAAGATTTTAATTGGAATCAATTCATATTTATAGATTAATTACATCTCTTTATTAGATTTATTCCTTGGTATCTTAAATTTTCTGTGCCATCTAAGTCTTTTTTATTTAAAGATTTGTTTTTATGTTAAATGGTGCCTTTTTAAAAATTCCATATTCTATCTATTTGTTGCTAGGTATTATTTATTACTGATATGATTTCCAGCAGTTCTTTTTCATAAACTAAGTTTGTTACACTCATATTGTTCAAAAGTTAAAAGATACATAATGACATACAGTGAGTCTTCCACTAACCCCAAAGGTGGCCATCTAGTTCCTTCCCAGAGGTAACCAATGTAACTAATTTCTTACATATTCTCCCAGGACTATTTTATATAGGTACAGTAATTGTGTGCATGTATTTATATAGATGGAATGTTACCATTAAATAAATGAGAGGGTTCCTAACAGAAATAAAAGCCAGAGAAAGGGCCTATTGTAGGAAGGACGGTTTGGTTTTATAGTCTGATGTTTTTAATGACTATAAAACTTCCCAAACACTCTGGAAAAAGCAAAGGATTTAATGGAAAATTCCAAAATACAAAACAGCCATTTCCATTCAGTATACTTTGCTACAATGATTCCATGTGCTTAGAAAAAGGGAATAGGGCTCTTTCAAAACCACAGATCACAGTCCTTCCCTGTGAAGCCATTCACTCCTCTTTCAGTGCATACAGAACATCATCCTGGCTGATGTTGAGCCGCACACGAAGGAGCAGGTCATTCCTGCTGGGCTCCACGAGGAGGAGACGACAGGAGCCCAGGTGAGAGCACACTGCCATGGCCTCCGACATGGTGGGATATGGGAGTCCCTCCATCCTGCACAAGGCCACGTGTTGACTGTATACCTAGAAACAAAAAGCAAATCTGAGGTCAACTGCCAAAAAGGTAGTCCTGGGTCTGTAACCAATTGTTTATTTCTTTTGGGAAAATGAGATACTTCTTGTCCAGGACACTCAGTACCCCAGAATGCATCAGTAGGTGCTTCCCTGGGGCACAAACACAGGGGCAGAATGCAGTACTGGCCTCGGAAACAGAGAACAGCAGGTCTGAACTCTGGTTCTACCAATTACCTAAATATGCAACACAGGGCCAATTATTTCACTTTCTGAGATTCAGTTTTATCTTTAAATATACTACAGTATCCATCATGAGTTAATAGATATAAAATGTCTGGTAACTGTCACCGTTATACAAACAGTCCTTGTCTCTGGGGCTGAGCATTCCAATTGTGCTTGTCAGGAGCAGGGATATTAACCGATTCAGTGCAGGGTCCCTGGCATGCATCACAATTACTGGCACATTGTAGATGTTTAGGCAGTATTTACAAATTAAAATGAAAGTCACTCTGCAGAAGAGCAATCTCAGACTCTAGAAGAACAATAACGGGCAAAACATGACCAGCAACTAAACATTTAGAAAAGAATTTAAAGAAGATAAGCTGAAAGGAAATAAAGAAGTAGCCGGAAGGAAAATTATTTCCTGACGTATTTGTCTAAAACATACTCATACACACACACAGACACACAAACTTCCAGGTACTCAGATACCTTTAACAATTCATCTTCAAAGGCAGTCCGGTACCCATGGACACCAGTTTTAAATAAACCACTAAGACACCAGCCCTAAAGATTCCTTTTACTTGATATAGTTGAAATTATGCTCAGAATGTTTGGATTGATCTTTGTGATTTGTTTTTAAATATAGCTTGTTCTGAAAGACACCATAAGCTATTGTTCATCTTGGACTCTCTCACTTCCAGAAAAGTACCTGGCACATAGTAAAGCTTCAATCTCATATCAGAAACCAGCTGCTAAAGCTCCCTTTTCATACAACTCAATAAAATATCACATAAAAACAGGCACTGGTCTGATATTCTTTAGCATAATCAGATTGGCACAAAATAGTGACAGACTGTTACACAGTGGTTGAAATTTCCACATATTTTAAAGGCACCAGAACAAACTCTAGAAGGATTTTTAAAAAGCAGATCAATCACCTGTTGAAACGTTGCTTCCTCCAGCCCTGATCGACGGAACTCTGCAAGGATGGCTCTCAGGAAGCTCTGTTCCAGCACGGAGGAATTTCTTGAAGAAAATGAGATGTGAATACTATTAAGTGGCTGTACCACCAACCCAGAGGAAAGCCAAAAGGAGCTTCTCTGTGTCTTCAGAGAAGAGAGAGGAAAAAACTGAGGACTGTTTCCTCCTATATTCCTGTATCATTTGCCAAGGATTCCCCTTCCTTCCAAGTCTCAAAATGATATGAAAAAACACCACTTTGGAAGTGAGGGAACACAGCGACTCTACCTGGACGTGAACCAGCACCCCCATTTCATTCAGTGTGAGAGAAGTTGCTACTTCCTCTTGCTTCCCCAGCACATTACTTCATAAACACCTCGAGTGTAACTCAACACATGGTCATTATTCTGTTGCACTAGATTTACATTTCTGTCTCCCTGACTAGACTATGCCTCAAGAAAAAGGGCAGCGTTTTCAGTAAATGCAGGTTGAATAAGTAAAAACTTCGAAAGGGAAACATGCTTCCATAGCCCTCCTGCTCTGGGGCCTCTCCAGTGGTCTTCCAAGGGAGGTGCAGGGTCATGGAGCAGAAGCGGCTTACTTGATGGCAGTGATGTATGACGAGGAGAACATCTCATCGACCGCTTCCAGTAAGTGGGCTGTAGTGACCAGGCCAGGGGAGCCGGGCTTCTGGTGGGAGAACTCACAAATCTCTGTGGCACGCCTAC